AAAAAAAAAAAGAGGGGAAAAGATAATAAGTGATAGTACAAATTTACTATTATTTAACTTTGCTGTGGAAAAAATAATAGCATTTCTCTGTAAAGGGAACAGAACACAATAAAAGAGGTCAGTTATATAAGTATCTACATCTATCTTGCTAGCTGGCTCATAAAGTAAAAAGTAAGATTTCTAACTAAAAAATTTGCCACTAAAAAGAGGCTTGTATTGGTGTGATGTTTTACAAGTTACAATATCAGTACCTCTCATATATACTATCTCTCATTTTAAACATGTATTGGTCACACTAGGATCCTTTAAAATAATGAGATACTATATAAGAGCATGTTTAAGTATAGATATGTGTTTCACTGAAAAGAATTATAACCTACTTAAATCTATTTACCAAGTCCTCTATCTTTAACATGCCTCTTTAAATCTTTAGAAAAAGTAATATAATTAAAATTCTAAAAAGAAGACTTTAATGATGTCTATATATTCAGAATCTCCACTATTAACCTTAGTAAAATATTGTAACTATTAAGAATTATGTGTTTCTATTCCATTTTAATTTATTTTAATAAATCATGGTTTATTATTTAGATTTGGGGCATTTTTACCACCCTGACATCTATCCACTGCAGAAAAATACAATATAAATTAGAGATAATGGTAAATTCTTCAAATGGTACTTCATAAAACATATGAATTACCATTACCTATCTTTTAATTTCTTCCTCTTTGCAATTTTTCCTTCTATAGCTAATGCTGTTTGGCACATCACTTATTCCATACACATTACTTGGAATTTATGGCTGTAACTGAGATTTCAGAGTCAGGTTCAGATGATGTTGGGCAAATCATCAAGCCCCCAGCAGACATGTTTTTCTTATGAGCAAAATGGAAACAGTTCTTTGGATCTATCTATCTCACTCCAATGTTGTCAGGTTCAGATGAGAAAATGTGTAAAAACACTCTGTAAAATCTAACACCACAAAGTATTATTGCTGTTCTTCTAGCAATTTACTAATTTACTGAAACACGTATTACATAACTTCATTATAACGTTTTTTTTAAACAGAGGCTAATGCTTCTGAAATTCAAGGATGTAGGTAGGAGCTTTGCGGGGGACAGTTCACCCTGGATATGTATTGAATCTCAACCAAATAAAAATCTGGTCACTATAGGGCTTGTTGGCTATGGGAAGTAAATCACACAAATAGAGAAGGTTAGCGAACCATCTTTCAGAAGCCATCAAAAACAACCTATTTAAGAAGTATAAGAAAGCAACTAAAGAAGCTCTGCTTTGATGGAGTAAGCCAGATCTATTTTATTTTAAAATAAAGAAAAACCTCTGCCTTAGACTCTGGATGGGGAAAAACCCACACAAAAGCTTGGTACAAATAAGGCAGCAGAAACATAACATTAATTTTCCATTGTTTTCTCTGGTAAACATAACACTGCACACCATCAAAGGAACATAACAATAGGTGTTTTTTCTCTTTCTGTCTTTCTTCTTTTTAACTAAATACTTACAGCTGCTGCCTCAATTCAGGTGAATCCTGAGGTGTCCCAAGCTGATTCAGAGTCCTCTGTATTTCCGCAGCTATTAGGATGGAAAATAAATATACAATTGTTACAAATATTAGGGCAACAGAAATAAGTTAGAAATTAATACAAGCAATTGGGCAGTTACAAAAAGACAGATAAACAAAGAGAGAGAGAGGAAACATTACTTGAGAAAAAAGAAATTGTTTATTTAAATCTAATTAGTGACAATGGATTAATTTTCAAGAGGAAATTGTGTGGGGACGTTAAATGAGAAACTGCACCTACGATCCAGAAATACTCTCTTCTTCTGTTTCCCATGAGAACACTTGGTACATTGGCACATGGACTTTCACTTAATTCTACTGGCATAAGAACTGTGAGGAAAATAATTGTAACAATGGCATAATTCACAGGAATATAAAGTGAATAAATTACAGTTAATAAATGAGGGAGGAACAACAGAATTAGAAAAAAATCGTTTTTCAATTATCTATGTAATAAGTGATTCTAGCAAGGATCATCAAAGGATGGTAAAACCACAGGACATTCACATGACCTCAGATGATCACCCTACACGTGACAACTGTAAAAGAGCGAACTTTATCACAGATAAATGTGTTGCTTAAAACAAATGACCAGATTGAGCTCTACCTGTGGTACAGACCAGCATCGTGAGCCTCCTGACGTGATTCGATAAGAAAGCCACAAGGTGAGCCAGGTGTTCTTCTGGCCAAATTATCTAACCTGAACCCGATCCTGAGAAAGAAGTCTGACCAACCTAGATTGTGGGATAATACAAAACAACTGGCATGGACTTTTAAAATGTCAATGTAACAAAAGGAAAAAGAAACAAAGGCATGGGAGCCTTCTGAATTAAAGAACTAAAAAACTCCCAAAACCAAACAAAACACCCAAAAGGCAATGCATGATTTTTTTGACTAGATTCTGAATCAGAAAAAAGAAAACGCTATAAAAAAAAAATTGTGGGGACAACTGGAGAAACTTGAATCTGAATTTGGAGAGAGAGATATTAAACAAAAGTTGAAAAATGTCAACAATTGGTGAACCCTGGTGCAGGATATAAAAAGTTCACTGTACTATACTTTCACTTTTCTGTAGGTTTAAAACATTTAAAATGAAAAGCCAGGGGTTTGAAATTCATGCTAAGCTCATGATCCAGAAGTCAATGACCACTGCAATAAAAAGGCTCTTCACAATAGGGGAGGTCCTATAGGTGTATGCATGTGTGTACACAAATAAAACGTCCAGTAGAAATAAGCTGAAGATCCATCTCAAAGTAAAGAAGCTTCACATTTCTACGAACTAGAGAAAAATGATCCAACCCACCCCTTCTTTTCATTTAAAATAAGTCGTTTATTTATATAGCTTAAATGCTTTTAAATAGTCATTATTTATTCATGGGATCAAGAGGATGATTGTATTCCAAAACACAGGATAACTTCTGTTCACGGAGGATGATATAACGAACACTGCTTTCAAGTAAAAGCTGAAAAATATAAACACTGGAGAAGAATCGTACAGCATATAGCAACTGTTAACCATTCTGTTAGTTTGAAAGAATTTCTTTTTGCTTTTTTTTTGGTAGTAGATTTTTCTTTAGGAGGGCATAGAAATTTTGTTTGCTGTTTTCAACTTATGGCTGCTTGCAATTAGTTATATATTTCCTTCTCAACCTCAGCAGATTTTCTTGGACTACCTTATAGGGGTTTAGAGCTTTTATTTTCAAAAAACGTATACTGATAAGACAAACTGTAGTGTAGCCCTCTACAGGACAGAGGCAGGCATTTATCTCATCTCAGGAGGGTTCTTGTCATAAGAAGTCATATTAAGAGAGGAAAAAATAGACTGTTCAATAAATGACACCAGGAAAACTAACCCTTTGGGGGTTAAAGTAGAGAATCTATCTTACCTCATATAGCAAAATCAATCCATAATAAATTATTAATTTAAATATTAAAAATTGAAATCATTAAACTGCTACATAAAACTATACAAATGTATTTATTACATGATATTTATGATCTTGGAGTGAGGTATAAAATATTATCTAAGTATGATACAAAACTCAAAACCATGGAGAAAAATATGACAACTGACAAAACAAAAAATTTTTAATGTTGTATGAAAAATATGTATCTATGTTACAAATACATATAAATAACGTGTGTGGGAGAAGATATCTGCAGCGTATGATGAGCAAGGGGGTTAATATCCCTAATATAGAAAAAAACTCCTACAAATTGGTAATAGAAAAATAGTCCAATGAAAAATGGACAAAAGATATCTTGAAATTTACAACAAGCAAATAAACATATGAGAAATGCAACTTCATTGATAATCAACTTTTCACATATCAGATTGGTAAAAATCACGAAAAACAAGCAGGTAAGAATACAAGTACATCAAAAATTTTAAAAAAACAAAAAGTGGAGACATATATAAGAAAGAAGGAGCAATATCCACATGGATAAAGGACTAGAAATAACTGAGACAAGGTCAGACAAGCCAGTACAAAAATAGACCAAGAAGAGAAACTTTAACAACATTCACTGAAAAAATTAATAGTAAAAAAAGATTGGAAAGTATATATCAATCCCAGAAAGGATAAATAATGTATGAACGCTATATAAAATTGCTCAGCTATTAAAAAGAATTCAGTGGAACTGCTTCTGAGAAGCCCAGTGGGAGCCTAAATCCACCAACTAGTTATTTCCCTATTTTTTTTTAACAGACACACTCAGCAACCCCAGTTTTCATCCTTTCTCCCTGAGAAAGGGCTCTTATCGGAAGGAAGAGACAACTGGAAGCCCCTGGGGGCTCTGCACTCTAACAGAGCAATAAACCAAGAGCGACAGCTATTCCCGTTGCATTGCTCAGAAATGCCACCAAAGACCTGGTAAGCTGAGAGTGGGGATGCCTCTCCCATTCCCAGTTAAGTGGCCTGGCTGGAGGCTGCAGAAGGCAAATAGTCAGGATGGCCGGCAGAGGCTTATTCAGACGGTGACGCCAACCGCAATGCTCCTCAGAACGTGATCTGTTCACTAGAACAGATCATCGCAATCTCTGGCAGCTTGTACAAACCTGCTGACATGTAAATACTTTTTGCTCTCTCCTAAAAAACAGAGAACATGAGGAGGAGTTTGCTTTCAATTGGATGGGACAGCGGCGAGCCTTCATAGTCTTCTCCCAGGGTTATATACACTCTTCATCTCTGTACTACAAGTTAGTTTTCAATGATACTGATCATCTCCTCCTTTAGGACACTACCCTAGTCCAACACACTGCTTACATCTTTGTTTAGGATCTGAAGAGTAAGAAGCAATATGTACTCTTAGGTGTCTTGCAAGGATTAAGTATGCCAGCAGGTAGAAGATGAATTCCATGAAAATACAGGGCCCTACTTCCTCAGTGAAGAATCATGTTCCATTAATCTGTATGGATTGTTGACACACTCCCGCAAAGGAAATGACAAATTGCCTTTCTTTGCCATCTCGAACACAAATGGGGTACAGTGCCTGGTGAAACTTTTATGCTGCTCCAACCCATTTTACTGAATGCCCCAAAAGGTTGCCAGCTCTGGCTTCAATTCCCCAAAAGAAAAGGCTATCCAGCTACTTCAAGCAGCTCTACAACTTGGCTTTTATGACCTGGTTGATCTAATGGTAACTCAAGTGCCTGTGTAATATCAGGACGCTGGATGAAACTAGTGGCGAGTCCCAACAGGAAAAACTCATAGGAGTCCCTTAGAATCTTGGAACAAAATCATGCTCTCTTTAGCAAACCAATGTTATCCTTTTGGGGAATAGTTCTGGTCTTGCTACTGAGCCCTGGATAAAAAGTAAATAATGGCATACTAGGTAACCAGGTGACCTGAGCTGCCCACTGTGAATTGGGCATCATGTTATCTTGTTGGTGTATCTCTTTCTACATTTTGTTCTATGTATGTCAGTCAGCCTGCCCCTCAGCCTAACTCCTCCAGCACTTGTTCAATGGGATAATAAACCAGCAATTGTTGTAGGAATAAAAGCTATACATAGGGTCACCAACACAGACCTAACCTTTCTCAGACTAACATGTTTACCGGCAATGCCACGTAGCAATCAAAAGTGAATACAGTCACGTGTTGCATAATGACATTTCAGTCAATGATGGGCCACATATACAATGGTGGTCCCATCAGATTAGTACCACATAGCCTAGTTGTGTAGGCTACACCACCTAGGTTTGTGTAAATACACTCTATGATGTTCGCACAAGGACAAAATTGCCTAACAAAGCATTTCTCAGAACGTATCCCCTTCGTTAAGCAATTCATGACTATGTGATATGGCACCATCCTTGGGGGTATCAGCCAGCCACCCAGTGGCAAGCTAACTGTACTCCCTCCATCTTGGTGGAGGCAGAATTTCATGTTCACTGAAACAGCAGGACTATTGATTTTGTTATGCTTCCTCTCCTCCCCTCCCTGCTTGGTTCTACCAGCTTCCTAACCCATGTATTAGTCACAATCACGGTATTCCACACACCAGTGCTTCTGATCAAGATATTCACTTTACAGAGAAAAAAATTAATAGGTCTTCCAAGGACAACGTGATTCACTGGTCTGCCAGAACTCCATTATCTAGAAGCTGCTGCACTGGTAGAATGTTTAATGGCCTCCTGAAGACCCAATTATGGTCACCTGGGAGACAATATCTTGGGAAGCGGAAGTGCTGGGTCTTTATGCTCTCAAAGAACAACCACTCCAGGGTGCCATTTCACCCACAGCCAGAAAGAAAACTCAGATTTGCGAACTAAGGGGTGAAAGTGAAGAGAAATATTTCACATTTACACCTAATCACCCATCTGCAAATTTTCTTCCATCCCTTGAGGTGATTTAGAGACAATATCCAAGTTAGCACTACAACCGTGTCTCCACCTGAGCAGAAGCTGAGGCTACCTCTGGCCATCTGGGGCCAGGACAGGATCATGTCGACAGAGGTGAGTCTTGGGGGGAAGTAAGGGTATGCCCACACACAGAGAGAGGGCGCATGT